GCGTAAAAAGGGAAGTAGATATCTAAAAAATCCAAGAGAGTAGTAGGAAGGCGGGAGAATCCAAAAAAGCCGTCCAAAAAATCGTCTTCACCCCCCCCCCCCCCCTCCCCTGACTACCCGTCCCCCGACGACTTCGCCGCGAAACGACTTTTGCATAACGAGCGCGCATTCATGGTGACACGGCCAAGCACAAGTGGGAGCGCCAGCCGCAGTGCGTCGTCCCTGCCTTCTCGGCCTTCGAGCAGCGCGACACGGAGCATGATGGGCGAGCAGCCCCTCTCAATGAGGCGCACTGCCCCCTCCTTCTCCTTTGGAAGCAGCACCAGATCGCAGATGTCGAAAGCGTTCATTTCGCGCGAGCATGCTAAGGTGACGGGGAATCCGACGACGCCAGGGCCAGTGTACAGCGTGCAGTCTTCAGTCGGCACGCAGCCCGAGGCTCGCTCTCGCACCGCACCGGCGACGCAGTTTGGAACGTCCAAACGCTTCCCTTCCGCCAAGAGGTGCTCGACGCCAGGGCCGGGCACGTATCCTGCACACGCCACGTTTGGGCGGCAGTCAGTCTCTTCCTGGCAGTCGCCAGCAACGTACGGTTTTGGCAGCATGCCGCGCGAGGATGGGGAGAAGGTGTACGTCTCGGAGGAGATGGCACGGATGAAGGCTGGCGCAGAGTCGCCGCCTGCCAAGTACAGCCTCCCCGGCTCGTTCGGGTCGCAGCAGCACTCTCGTAAGTGCTCCGCTCCGGGGTACCGCCTTGGAACGTCGCAGCGCTTCCCGCCTGCCCGACAGCACAGCGCGCCAGGCCCAATCTACAAGCCAGTCGTGTGCGCCGTCGGACGCCAGTTTCTCTCGCCGCACTCCTCTCCGCCGGCCTTCGGCTTCGGCACATCGAGCCGCGAGAACCAGCAGCGGCGGTATCTCTCGCGCGAACACGCCCTGGCGGCGAGTAGGGGTCGCGATTCGCCTGCTCCAGCGAGCTACAAGCTCCAGGACGGCGTGGGCAAGCAGGTCCTGTCTCGCAACGCCTCGGGCGCGTCGTTCTCCTTCTCATCGAGCAGTGGCCGGTGGACGCCCGCGACCAAGGCGGCCGCTGACGTACCCGGGCCGGGCGCGTACCTTGTGTGATGCCAGGAGAGGGTTGCGGGGCGGGTGGGGGGGGGGGGGGAGGGGGGGCATGAGGTACACGGCATGTTGCTTATTGTAGTGGACAGTTGGTTGCAAGTGTGTGATGTGCGTTCGCGCCGTGCGCGTGTGTCGTGTGTGTCTGATGAGTCTGGCTCTCCCGATCGAGACGCGTTCTGTAGTTTCTGGGGCGCAAGCTCTCACGGCCGGACGGGTGCGCGCGAGCGGGGCTCCGTATAACGCGCGCGCGAGAGAGGTCAGACTCAGAGGAGCACAGGGGAGGCTTTGACTCTGGCTGAGCCCTCTAGACTACGCTACAAGTCGGTAGGAAATGCCGCAGAATCGCCGAAACATGACATGGCATGTTAGTATTGAACTACAACGCGGCACGCACACATCGCCTCCCTAGTCGCCTCCCTATACGTGTATAAGAGCCCAACCCTCCGCCTCCCAACACGACACTCCCTCACGCCTGGCCGAGCATGGACTTGGCCGCCTTCTGCGCCTTGTCGGCCCACGACTCCTGCTGCATCAGCTCCTTGGTCACCATCTGCACCTTTTGCTCTGGCAGCTCGCCCTTTGCCACCGCAGTGCTCACGCCGGTCGCGACTATCTTGTAGCCCCACTCGAGGCTGGGCAGCTTCTTGATTGCGGGATACTGTTGCCGCGCCATGTCGGTCAGCCGCCGCTCGCTCTCAAAGATGGAGCGCGCCACACCCTCGTCGAGGCGCTCCTTGAAGACGCCTTTGGCCAGCGGCGACCCGAGCCAAGCTCCCACGAGGCCCTTCGACTGGCCGTCGCCGCGGAGCACCGAGACGGGATACCACATCACGCGCGTCTTTGGGTTGCGCGCGTAGAGGTAGAAGAGCGGCGTGCCGTCCGGCGGCGCGTCCGGCTCGCGGAACTCCTGCTGAGGCATCGCGCCCACGGCGCCGCCGCCCGGGCCGCCGGGCGCGCGCGGCCGACCCTTGCGGCCCATCACCACGGCCGCGGCGCGGCGCGGAGCGCACGACGCATGCAGCGACGCGCCAGGGGGCGTCGCCAGGAGGCCGGCGGCGAATGCTCCCGCGAGCAGAAGCGACAGCGCCAACATCGATCTCGAACCCGTGCGAAAAGATGGAACCATGGCCTTGGCACTCGGGGTT